CAGGTACCAACATCTGCACGGCTGGGATGGGGGGATTTTGGGGTCGGGGGGGGGGGGGTTGGGGGGCTCATGGCAGCACATCGCTGCAGGGGAGCTGTTTGCTTGGCTCTGACCCCTGCGCTGCTCTCCTCTCGCAGGTGGTGGCCAAGTGGAGGTGAAATCTGAGAAACTGGACTTCAAAGATAAGGTGCAATCTAAAATCGGGTCCTTAGATAACATCAGCCACGTTCCCGGAGGAGGAAATAAAAAGGTAAAGCAGGGCAGGGCTGCTGTCCTGTGTGCGTGTGAGCCTTGGAGGGGGGGGCAAGCAAAGAGCCATAGGAGTGGGCTCAGGGAAGGTGCTGCTCACCGGGCTCAGCTTCAGCCTCCTCTCCAGCACCCCTCTGCTCTCCAGGCAGCGCTGTGCCCCACTGCTGGCATTGCTGCCCACATCCTGGGTGGGGGGGGATGCTTTGTACCCCCATCCTCCTGAGCTCCCCCCTGTGCGGAGCTGAGGGCTGCACAGATCGACCCTGGGCTGTTGGGGCTGTGAAGCTGCGCTCTGTGCATCTCCAGGCCCGCCTGGATGAGTGTGAATGTGGGTGATGCCCTCTGCTGTGGTTTCCTGCTTTTCCTGCTGTTCTCTGGAGAGGTTTGTGTCTCCAGCTTTCGCTGTACGGGATGCTGCTGTCAGCATCTGCTTTCATGCCATGTGGTGCCGGTGGCGCAGCGCAAAGCTGGCGCAAGGGCTGCTCTCCAGTGAAAGTGGAACACTGGGCTGAGCTTTAATTAGAAAGTGGAGCATTGGGCTGAGCTTTAATCAGCATCCATCGCTGCAGGATGCTGAGCTCTGTGCCTCAGCCTCCCCAGCGAAGCTCAGTGGTGTGGGGAGGTGGAAATGGGAATCCAAGGCTGGGTGGCGCCGTGCTGCATCGCCCTGAGTGCCAGCAGGGCTCAGCACGGGGCTGGGGCTGCGGCCTGGGGACGCAGCGCACAGGGTTGAATTCCCAAAGGGAAAAGTGCTTCTCCTCTTGCTGCTCTCTCCAAGCACTCTTTTCTCACCAGGAGGGGTCAGCTCTGTTTCAGCTCTTCCCCTGCTCCGGATCGCTGCCTTCCTTACCCTTCTCTCACTGCTCCACGCATCAGACTGCCCTGTGCTTCTCGTCATTTTTATTCTCACAACGCTGGGTTTCCAGATCTTCTTTTTTCTCCCTTATTTTCTATTTCTTTTCCTTACTTTTTTTTTTTTTTTCTTTTTCTTTTTTTTAAATCTTTTTCCTGCTGGTTGACGTTTATCGGATCTCGTTGGTTTTTGTTTTGTGTTTTTTTTTTTTTGTTTTTTAATTGCTGATGCGTTTTTTGCACCCCGCCGCCTTGGGTTGGGTTTCTTCACCTGTAGAGAGAGAAAGGCAAGGAAGACAAGAGCCGGTGCCAGGCTGCTCGGACCCCGAGCCCAGACCCCGCTGGGCTCCAGGCCCTGGTGCTGGAGCCACCCACCCCCCCGGAGAGGCAGCCCCCAGCCCCACATTCAGCTGGGGAGGGCACCAGTAAGTAGCAAACCCAGTCCGCTTCCTCTCCCCAGCCCTGGAAGCCGGAGGGAAGGGCAGCTGCGTGCCGTGCGGGCGTCCCAGCTCCACGACCCCCAGCTGGGCTGCAGGAGGAGCCGTGGTGGTGCCTTGGGATGGAGCTGCAGCATCCCAGGCGTGCTGCCATTCCTACAAACGCGGGGGGCCGAGGCCGAGGCTGCGTGGAGCAGCGCAATGCCGCCTCTCAGCCACCTCCTCCCCCACAGCCCGGCTGATGCCCGCAGGTAACGCAGCCCCTGTGGGACCCCCCCCCCCTCCCCACCTGACGGGGCTCCGCTCTCGTTGCAGATCGAGACTCATAAGCTGACTTTCCGTGAGAACGCCAAAGCCAAGACCGACCACGGCGCCGAAATCGTCTACAAATCCCCCACCATCTCTGGAGACGCCTCTCCGCGCCGCCTCAGCAACGTCTCCTCCACCGGCAGCATCAACATGGTGGACTCCCCCCAGCTCGCCACGTTAGCCGACGAAGTGTCCGCCTCGCTGGCCAAGCAGGGCTTGTGATGGGGCACAGCATCACCGTGGGAGAGAGAGAGAGAGAGAGAAGATGAGGGGGGAAAAATACAAACAAAGCAAAAAAAAAAAAAAAGAAAAAAAAGAAACACGAATAATAATAATCTGGCCTTCTTCCTCTGTTCCTTTTACAGCTGCTTCCCCATCCCCTACTCGGTTAATGATTTAACCTGCTTTTACTGTTCATTCAGCTCTAGCTCCAGGACTTCACAATCAGTGACACTTTGAGGTACAGAACCTCCTCTCCCCCCCGTCCCACCCCCCCTCCCCCCATCCCTGCAGGGCAGCAGGCAGAGCAGAACCCCGCTCTGCAGAGCCCCACTGCTCTGCCTGGGACCCCCCCCCTCCCCCCCCCCCTTCCATTTGCCTGCTGATTCAGAAGAAACCTTTTGTTTTCACCTCTGAGAGCCGAGATGTTCGAAGCAAACTAAGAACCGCCAGGCATCCCCGGCAGGGCAGCAGGGGGTTCCCCTCCGTGGCTGCGCCCAGCGGATGATTGATCAATTCGAGGCTTTTCCCCCTTTTCCCTCGGCAGCCCCTCGTGTCGTAGAGTAGATTTGTCTGTATATGCTTGGACCGTGCCAGGGTGGTTGTTTTCATAAACGAGCATGTGTTTAATGATGCTGTCAGTGAGTGGTTGGCGCTGCACCGCATGTCGGGGACGGCGCCCGGAGGTGGGCGCAGCGGCAACACCTGGGGGTTGCGATGGCTTTTTGTTGTTTTGTTTTGTTTTTCCTTCCTTTGCAAGGTCAGCTCAGAGCTCACAGAAGCGGCAGCTCCGCGGCTCTGCTGCGCTCGTGTGGTGGCAGCAGGAGGAGGAGGAGGAGGAGGAGAGGAAGGTGCAATGGCGGTGGTGGTGGTGGCCATCCCAGCGCTGAGCGCGGTGCCCTCCTGGGCTGCAGCACCCCATGGCACCCCATAGCACCCCATGGCACCCTGTGGCACCCCAGGGCACCCTATGGCACCTCATAGTACCCTATGGTACCCCATAGCACCCCATGGCACCCTATGGCACCCCAGGGCACCCTATGGCACCTCATAGTACCCTATGGCACCCCGTGGCACTCTATGGTACCCCATGGCAACCCATAGCACCCCATGGCACCCTATGGCACCTCATAGTACCCTATGGCACCCCATGGCACCCCGTGGCACCCCATGGCACTCTATGGTACCCCATGGCAACCCATAGCACCCCATGGCACCCTATGGCACCCCAGGGCACCCTGTGGCACCTCATAGTACCCCATGGTACCCCATGGCACCCCATGGCACCCTATGGTACCCCATGGCACCCTGTGGCACCCCATAGTACCCTGTGGTACCCCATGGCAACCCATAGCACCCCATGGCACCCCATGGCACTGTGTGCCTCTCCTGCCCCCAGCACCACGCAGAGCCCCTTTGTTCCTTCACTGCCGTTGTTCCCGTGCCAATGGGGGTTTGGGGCAGTGCTGCCCCCCTCCCCTTCTCCCCTCCTTCCCCCACCCCGTGCCCACTCCTTCACCAACCAAAGAGACCCAGGTGCTGCTGGAGCAGCTCCGCACCGCCCTTCCCCCCCCCGCACCCCTATGAACGGCTGCTGGCAGGGGAGGGGGCACCCATAGGGCTGCACTGAGGGCTGTGAGCTCCCAGGAGGGGCACTGGGGTGCTGGGGATGCTCGGGCCGAGGTGCCGGATGGAGTCCTCGCCCCCCTTTCCTGGGTGCTGCTGGAGCCACATTGGGACCCGGGTTGGGAAGGGGGGCTGCGTGGCGTTGGGCTGAGGGCTGGGGGCTCCCATTCGTGGGGCGCAGCACAGAGGGGTGACAGCGGTGCTGGAACACGAGCAGCCAGAGCCCCCGCAGCCCCCACCGCCCTCAGCTGGGGGGAGGGGGGTCCCGCAGCCCCCCGCCTTCCCCCCTTTCCCTCCCCACATCCGACGGGGCCGATGAGGGTCCAAACCACAGCGGGAGCCTCAGGGTGGGGAGGAGGGGGGGCTGTGGGGGGGGGGGGGAGGTCTGATCTCGGTGTACCATCCTAGCTTAGCTGCCTGTCTGTGCGTGTCCATGGTGTCCATGGTGTCCATGGTGTCCATGGTGTCCTCGTGTCCAACAACTCGTTTCCACTGTTGCCGTAAAAGTGAATTTGGAAATAATAAAAACCAAAACCCCACGACTGAGCAAAGCCGCCTCTGCTGCCCTCTGCGCCACCCCCCCCCCCCAACACAGACGCTCTCTTTGCGGAGGATATTTCTGTTTTAATTGATTTTTTCTTTTTTTTTTTTTTTCCGATTTTTTTTTAATTTTTTTTAATTTTTTTTTTTTTTTTTATAAGCACATCTCTGTGCTTCGCCAACAGAATCGAGACATGAACAAAGATCAGCTTCTCGGAAAGAAAAGCATTTTGTTTCTCTATAGAACAAGGACATGACAACAGCTCAAAGCAGGAAAAGAAAATATTTACAAAATACGACGTTTTGGGAGGTGGTTTTGTTTTTTTTTTTCTCTTTTTTTTCCTTTTTTTTTTTTTTTTTTTTTTTTTCCTTTTTCCTGTGGTTTTTATAACGCTAAAAGGGGTCGTTTGGAATTTTCAACCTCATAAATAGAAAAGCATTTAAAGAGGGGGGGGGGGGGGGGGGAACGGAGCGCCGTTTTGTTGCTGATTTGGTGTGGTTTGGTTTTTTTTTTTTCCTTAAAGAAACGCTGACAAAAATCCTTCAGAACAGAACCCAAAGCATTCGGGGACGCTGAGCATCACAACCCCCCCCCCCCCCCCCCCCCCCCCCCCCGGTGAAGCAGCAGAGCTACAATTCGGTTCTTGACGATTACAAAAAAAAAAAGAAAAAGAAAAAAGAAAAAAAAAAAAAAAAAGGGAAGAAAAAAAAAAAAAAAGCTGTAATTTTCTGTTTTTTTTTTTTTTTTTTTTTTCCTTTTTTGGGGGATTTTTTTATTTTTTGGGGGATTTTTTTTTTATTATTTTTTTTTTATTATTATTATTTTTTGGTGCCGCGGTTCTACAGAAGGGGGCGGCGCGGCAGCGACACGAGGGGCACAGAGAGAAGCGTTTTATGGGGGGCATCGATGGGTTCCCCAGCCCCACACCTGCAGGGGGGCTCAGCGCTGCTCTCACCTCCCCATCCCTCCCCTCCCTCCCATCCCTCCTCCTTTTTCCCCTTTCCTACGACCGAAACCCCAAGGATCCGCTGCGCTCCTGAGCGCCCCCCGGCCCCACCTGAATGCCGCAGCGCTGTGGGGCCGCGCAGCCCGGCGCTGCCCCCCGGTGGGGAGCTGCTGCTCCCAGCGCTGTGGGAGATGCCCTCTCAACCCCAAGCCCAGCTCCAGCCCCACACGCAGCCCCACACGCAGCCCCTTCCTTCCCTTTCCCCCACCCGGGGCTGCTCTGCTGCCCCAAGAAGGAAGGAGATGGGCTGAGGGGGGCGGTGGGGGTCCCTCATTGGGACACTGCGCCCTGCAGGGGGGAGCAGCAGCACAGCCCCCCATGTGGGGACGGGGAGCTGCCGAATCCAGAGACTTCCCATCCCTCACTTCACTCCAACGGCTCACAGAGGGGCTGCAGGTTAAGGGGAGGAGACCCTTCTGCTTCAGAAATCATCCCAGCCTCTGCTATCGCCTGCGCTCTGTGCTTGTGCACCTACAAGGGGAGGGGAGGGATGGGGGGGGGGGATGGAGGGGCTGCTCCCCTCCCCAGGCTTCACTCCGCTGGGAGGAACGCAGGGGGGCTCCTTGGTGTGACAAGGAAACATGGAGAAAAAACAAAACAAAAAAAACCAAAAAAAAAAAAAAGAAAAAACAACGAAAAAACAAAAACAAAACAAAACAAAACAAAAAAAAAAACCAAAAAAAAAAAAACCAGTTTCTAAACTCCTTAAATTCACTAAAAACTGTGAAAATTCCCGGCAGGATGTTTGAATATCAAACGCAGATTTTGGAAGCTTTAATGCCAAGAGTTTTAGTTCTGTGTGTTGGTTTTGCTCGTGTCTCCCCGTACGTCTCTATCTGTGCGCCGGCCGCTGAACCGCTGCTGCTGCAGAGGAGGAGGAGGAGGAGGAAGGAGGGGGGGTTGCCGGGGGGGGGCGGCTCTTGATGCCCGTCAGGGTGGGTGAAGCAGAAGTGCCATCGGCGTCCCGGGAGGATTTGCTGCCCGACGTGCGCCGGGTGCAGCGCGACGACCGGTCCTGGGGGTCGCATTGGTCCTCACACTCCGTCCTGGGGTCGTACGACAGGGGGAAGCAGCGCCGCTCCCAGGGCAGCACGGCCTGAAGGGAAAAGACAGCGGGGCTGCAGGGATCCTCGGGGCGGCTCTGCTGCACAGCTCTGCCCTCAGCCCCCTGCCTGCAGCCCCCTGCCCTCAGCCTTCAGCCCCCTGCCCTCAGCCTTCAGCCCCCTGCCCTCAGACCCCTGCCCTCAGCCTTCAGCCCCCTGCCTGCAGCCCCCTGCCCTCAGCCTTCAGCTCCCTGCCCTCAGCCCCCTGCCCGCAGCCCCCTGCCCTCAGCCTTCAGCCCCCTGCCCTCAGCCCCCTGCCCTCAGCCTTCAGCCCCCTGCCCTCAGCCTTCAGCCCCCTGCCTGCAGCCCCCTGCCCTCAGCCTTCAGCCCCCTGCCTACAGCCCCCTGCCCTCAGCCTTCAGCCCCCTGCCCTCAGCCCCCTGCCCTCAGCCTTCAGCCCCCTGCCTGCAGCCCCCTGCCCTCAGCCTTCAGCTCCCTGCCCTCAGCCCCCTGCCCGCAGCCCCCTGCCCTCAGCCTTCAGCCCCCTGCCCTCAGCCCCTGCCTGCAGCCCCCTGCCCTCAGCCCCTGCCTGCAGCCCCCTGCCCTCAGCCCCCTGCCCTCAGCCCCCTGCCTGCAGCTCCCTGCCCTCAGCCTTCAGCCCCCTGCCCGCAGCCCCCTGCCCTCAGCCCCCTGCCCGCACCCACCTGCTCGTCCAGAGCCTCGGGAGTGGAGCAGCGCGTGTCCTCGCTGGGCAGGAGCCGCAGGGAATCGCGGGACAGGGGAGTGAGGGGAGCCGAGAGCAGTTCGGGGCTGATGGGGCTGCGCGGGGAGTGGGTGTGGGACGGCTCCGAGTGGGAATGGAAGCTGCCCACGTCTGGGGATGCTGGCTGGGGGGTGGAGGGGGTCCCCAGCTGGGGGGTTGTCCGTCCGTCCGTCGATCTGTAGGACCTGAGGGAGAAACGGACACGAGGTTCGGCTCTGCTCCATTACCCCAGATCACTGTGTCCCCCCCCAACGCCCCCCCCCAGTTGCGCCTGAAGGCTGGCACAGTGCACACAGTGCAGGAGCACAGCTCACACTGAAACCCCCCTGAGCCCACATCCATCCTGCAGCTCCCCAGAGGAAATGCATCCCAACATCCACACCACCAGCACCGCCAGGAGCGGCTGTGACACCACAGTGTGAAATCAGCCCCTCCGTGTGACACTGAGAGCCAACGGAGGGAAGCAGTGACACAGAAGCACCGACAGCTGCGGGGGGAGGAGCGCCGCAAAGCGCCAGGCTTCAGATGTAAGCCATGAGAAGAGAGCCATAAAGAAGCACTGAAGTCACACCCATGTCTGCACGCATCTTTTCAAGGCAATTCCAGCTGCAAGCAGCCATCGAGGACTGCTAAGGATTGCATTCCAAAATCCACCTGGGCTAAAATGTTCACAGAAACCGGGCTGAGCTGTGCTAAGCAAAGAGCTGCAACATGGAAACAGCGCCAAGGTGCAGCGAGAAGCTGCTCCAGGAATAAAAGAAATCCGTTTGGTTCCGTAGGGCAAAAGACCACGAGATGCTCAGATCTGCTACAGCACTGCAGAGGAGAAGCTGAGCTCAGCAGCTCCACGCGGCCCAGGCAGGGCTGAGAAGCAGCAGCGCCTACAGCTCCATCCCTGCTGGGGACCCAGACTGGGAACACACTGGTGGCCAAGGAGGAGTCACCGGGAGCTACTGGGACGGCTGGGGGAAGCAGGAGGAGCTCTTCTGCCCGAGGTGAAGGTGGGAGCTGCGTGGAAAGCAGATGGCAGGGCCAGACCTCCTGCCAGGGCTCTGCACACCGCGGGGCAGGGAGCCTCCAGCCCTGGAAGCACTCACACCACAGCCAGAGCCAATGTGAACTTCAGCCCTGCCTGCACTGCAGCACAACCAGACAGAGGCACCCTGCTGCAACCACAGCTGCAGTGAGAAGAGCGCTGCGTGGCTGCATGCAAGCCATCAGCAAGAGCACAGCAGATCCAAACCAAGGCATCAGAAACCAAACTGAAAAGAGCGAATCTCATCACACAGCTCTGTCAGATGAGGACAGCTGAAACGCGCGCTGCTTTAGACACCCACTCGTGAGAAGACACTGCAGCAGAACTCAGCGCTGAGTGATGGGAGGAAAGGAAGGACCCGTGGGTAATGGACAGAAGCAGAGCCGTGCTGCTGTACCTGCTGCCCCGCCGCTGTGGGGGCACACTCGTGCTCCAAAGCCACCGGGCTCGCTCCATCTCCTCACACTTGCTGTGCCGAGCAGCAAAGGCCGAATCAGACAAGTCCTCGATCTGTGGGAGCAATGGCACAGGGCTCAGGCGGGGGCTTTTCACGTCGAACGCACGACTGTGTGCAGTTTGTCCAGTAAAATGAATCGGTGATGTCCAGAGGGTGCTTCCCCCACTGCCTCCAAACCCAGCATCACCTCAATGGGAAACAGGGCAGCTCTCACCTCCTCGTTGTCTTCATCAGGGCTGACTTTCAGGGCGCCGATGTCCACCTCACGCCAGCTGCAAACACAACATCAGAGTGCAGTCGGTCACAGCGCAGCCCCATCGTTGGAGGAAATCACAACAAGCAACACACGCAGGCTGGGCGTTCAGCCACACAGCCACATCTGTCCCCCAACCCCCCCACGGTGCCATCAGAGCCATCTCACTCCCAAAGCCTGCTTCAGCGTGAGGGCTGGGAGGCTCCCAGAGTCCCATTCCTCCCCAACAGCTGCAGCCCCTGGAGCAGAGCCCCGAGCCAAAGCTGGGCACAGACCTGGGTGTCAGGATCTCCTTGTACTGCAGCTTCTCCACGCGAGTTGTGGCGGCGACAGACATCGGGATGACAATGTTGTTAATATCAAATGAACTTTCTCCTCTCCTCCTCCTCGGCTGCTGCAACGGGAAGACAAGAACAACATGAGAAAGGGTCGGAGGCTTTGCTATGGTAAGCCACTGACAAAGGATCAAGAGATCTGGGCTGGAACTGAGTTCACTACTGCCTGCTGGAAGGCCTCCCCCATGGGAACAGCTCTGAAAGGGGAGAGAAGAGCCCCAAGAGCCCCACAGAGCTCAGTTCCCCGTGTGAAATGGCAGTGGGACCCTCAGCACAGCTCCGACTGGGTCAGCACAGGGCTGGGAGCAGCAGCTCATCTCGGCTTGTGACAGCTGCTCTAGAACCTAACAGCTTCCATCCGCAGCCACTTTAACCAGGACAGGTTTTCCAAGCCAGAAATAAGCTGCACACTCAGCTTATCCATCTGGGTTGAAGCTGGGTGCTCTCCTGCCTGTCTGTCCCCAAACCTCCACTGAGCCACGAGAGCAGCACTGCAGCACAGACACGGGATGCTGCAGGCTCTCAGCCCACCACTGCTGTCCCCATGGCTGGAGCTGACAGTGGGAAGCTCCTGCAGGGCTTCTCCCCTTCCGAAACCTTAACTGGTGCTTTCATGTCCCAGAACAGCCGTGTTCCTGCATTACACCCCAAGCTCAACCTGCACTATGTGATGGGACGTTGCTCAGCTTTCCCAATTGGAATTGTATTGGCTTTGGTAGAACTGGCAGCATGCAATAGGGACCATCATTTCTGAGCAAAACCTGCTGGGCAGCCGCAGGCAAAATGCAAAAGCACAGCGAGTCACAGTGCAGGAAGCTGCAGCTCCTCATGCAAACGCCTCTCAGCTCAAAGCAGCTCCCTCCACCTCCCCAAAGGAATCCCCAAAGTTGCAGCAAAGCTGTGCACGTTGGGAGGTTCTGCAAAACCACCAAAACCAGACCCAAACCTTGCCCTGCCTGACAGCCCTGTGCACAACGCCCACACCTCAGCACAGCTGGCTTCTGGGGCTGGAAGAAGCCAGGTGCTAAAAACCAGCATCCAGGAAAGGAGCTGCCAGCGATGCTGCCCAGCACCACGCTGTAACCCTGCTGTTCAGGACGGGCACAGGGAAGAGTGGCAAAAGGAGCAGAAAGGAAGATCAAGTGCAGGAAGCACGAACAGATTTCATCTTGACATGCTTTGGCTGCTGAGGAGGAGCGTCCTTGTCTGCAGAACACCTGGCTCATTCCACGGAAGCTGCTGCTGCTGGTTGGAGTCTCAGCCCCTCTGAGCCTTACAACCCACCTCACTGACAACACAGCTGATGATGCAACAGCAAAATGTTCTGGGAAAGAACCCGGCTGGAGGTGGCAGCCTGGAGCTCAGAGCAAGGGCCGAGGCACATCTTGTGCTCTGTGTCCCCAAACCCTGCATCCCCAGCATGGGCTGCGCCACACAGAGGCCAGGAACTTTCCTAGGACACACAGTTCAGAGCTGAACAGAGCAGGAGGGAGCTGGGCCCTGCTTGCTGGTGGCTTTCAGACACAGCTCCACAAAGGTTCCAAATGCTGTCATCCTTTCTGGGAGGCTGAGCTTGTCTCAGCACACAGTATGAGCCAAGCAACTGCTGAACAACAGGTACAATGACAGCTGAGTCCCATCCTCAGCCCGATTTACAGCCCAGCACATGGAGAAAAGGCCAGGAAGGGGAAGAATCCCAGAGCAGGAGCTGTTGTTGTGTCAGCAGCTCTACACTGCCGGTGCTCAGCTCTTCTACTCCGTTTCCTGGCATCCCCTGACAAATTCAGTAACCAAAATCCGGACGTGGAGCAAAGCCAGCGGACTACTGGGAACAGGACCATTTACCAGCACTTACTGAACTGACAGCAAACCTGTCAGCTCTGTGCACAGCCAGGAGCACGGCAGACCCGAAGCCAGAGCAGACGGAGAGCCAACAACTCCACTACCAGCAAGGCAACACCGAGTCCTCAGCTCCAGAGGCTGGGGAGCACAGAGCTGAGCTCAGCAGCTCTCCAGACAGACACCAATACTTACAGCCGTGCTGGAGGTGCCCTGGGAGCTCGTGCTGGTGGGAGCAGAGCCCTCCGAGGAGGCGGACAGCTGCCGTGCTATGGGGCTGTGAGGTGCGTGGGTCGCAGCTGCTGCCAAGTAGCTCGGGCCACCGACGTCCGCATGATGCTTCAGCACTGCGTGGGGAAGGGAGGAAAAAACAAAGAGGCACGTTAGCATTAAAAAACAAAAGGGTGGGGGGCAGGAAGGAGGGGAGAAAAGGACCATCTCTGCCAGAAATGGCCAATGCTGAGGTGCACCCTGCAGGAAAGAGAAGCGTTTTCTGACTGCAGACGGCTCTCAGGGCCTGCAGGGAGCAGCAGTCGGAGCACACAGGCGGTGAGGAGGCCCACAAGCAGTGCGTTCCCTCTCCTCCGAGGGGGAGAGAGGCTGATGAGCAGCAAAGCCCAAGCTCCCCCCGAGAGCCCTGGCCGTGGGAGCCTACCTTCACTCCTCTCAGATGAGCAGTCGCGCAATCGCTTTTTGTCATGGGCGGGAGGCTGGACAAGCGAGCGCTCAGGCGCTCCCTCGGCCTTGGACACGGCCATAAAATCGTCTAAAGGCAGCCTGTGCGCCTTGTCTGCCTGGGTTTTGTGCTGTGAGCGCTCTGAGGAGGGGAACAGAGAAAGAGCCATGAAACGCCTGTTTTCACCTCTCTTTCTGCAGGCACAGAAGGCGCCGGCGCTGCGATGCTGCGGCACCAACGGGCAGAGCTCTGCGTGGGCACGGCCTGGCACTGGGCAAAGGGGGTCCCGCAGCCGGGACCGGCTGCACACAAACCCCTTCGGCCCCCAAGGCTCCACTTGAAGGCTCTCCATCCTCCTCTCTCCTCCCGGATCGCACTGCTTTGGGGTTACCAACAGCAGGGGAGCAACTCTGCACACGGCAGGGCTGGGGGAACTTACTGGCTGCGGTGAAGAAGGAGTTCACCAGCTTGTGGCGGTCCTTGCGAGCTGGGTCGGTCAGGCTGCTGGTGGGCATGGGGGCTCTGTGCTTCAGCGAGAGCTTTTTGGGAGCTTTCATTTTCTCGTAGGGTTTGTTCTGCCACTGGGATTTCAACATGCTCTGGAAGTGCAGGCTGGTCGGCACGTCTGCGGAGGAAAGCAAATGCAATGCATGAATCCAGGTGCACCAGGAAGCTGCGGCTCCATCATCACCTCCCAACCCCCAGCAAGAACTGCCCCAAAAAACAGAGGGCTGTCGTTGCGCAGCCAGGTTTGCCTATGCGTTCAGAATGGGAGATAACTGCAGGATGAGAGGAAATGGCTTGAAGTTGAGGGAGAGAAGATTGAGGTTGGATGTCAGGGGGAAGTTCTTTGCTATGAGAGCGGTGAGGTGCTGGAACAGCTGCCAGAGAGGCTGTGATGCCCCGTCCATCCCTGGAGGTGTTCAAGGCCAGGTTGGATGGGGCCCTGGGCAGCCTGGGCTGGTGTGAAATGTGGAGGTCGGTGGCCCTGCGTGTGGCAGGGGGTTGGAGCTTCAGATCCTTGAGGTCCCTTCCAACCCTGGCCGTTCTGTGATTCTGAAGAAGCTGCTGTGTGAGGATCCAGCATTTCCAACCTGAAGCTCTTTGAGAGAAGCACAGTAACACACAATTCACACCCAGGTATATGCTGGCAGGAGAATAAAAGGCACGTGACTCCATTCTGCTATCTGTGATCTGACTTCCAAGGCACTAGGATATCTCAGCTCATCAAACCTACAGGAGCACAGACTGGAAAAGAGACATTCAGCTTAACTCCTCCATTTCGGGTCAGGCCAGAAGCCAAGTGTGAAATTCATCTGCCTGGCAGGGCATCTGCCATGGAACCAAGGGTGCTCCAAACAAGCACACTTCAGGGCCCATGGAAGCACAGTCCCCCCAGTGTGCTCCCAGGCTCCCAGCTGCACCCAAGAGCGCTCAGCCCTGCCCATGCTGCCTTTTCAGACCACGCTGCACACTGCAGAGGGGCACACGCTCCTTTGGCCCATGTTCCTCAAGCTTTGTTCCACCTCAATCCCACACAAATGTGCTCTCCTGACCTCGGCTGAAGGGCAGAACACCAGTGGGGTTACTTGATGCTTTTCTTGTGAAGACAGGCTATGCTGTCAGCTCTAAAAACCATCAGCTGCTCCAGCAAACTCCCCCAGCAGCACTGTCCGTCCCCCAGATCTCACACGGTGTTTTCGCAGGGACTCTGAAGCGACCCTGAGCAGAGAGGAACCAGAGCCCACACCAGGAGCTGAGCTGCCAGCCCTGCAGAGGGGCCAGCAGCGCAATTCGGAGCTGCTGTGGCATTTGGAACTGCAAGCTTTGCCTGAGGACTTGTCTGACCTCAGAGGGCAGCATGAAGGGATGGGAGCCCTGCTGGCAGTCTCAGCAGCTGAGATGGGAATCCTTTCCCACCCATTCCAGAGGCCGAAAAGGCCCAGGACAGGCAAACAGGGCTGCAGGCTGCGGTCACTGACAGGGGAACCTGATGCTCAGCAAAAAGCCAGGGCAGCAGGGTTTAGAAGACTGTGGTGTTAAAGCTCTCACTGAGCCCCAACCATTTGGGCAGCAAAGTGTGAGAGCAGTTCTTCAAGCACTGATGATCTGCAGGGACAGATCCCAGTGGGGAGGGAGGGCTCAGAGCAGTCCCTGAGGATGGCACCAAGGAGAACACAGCTCATCTCCTGCCTTTTCCTGGAAGTTCATTCCCTGACACGTCTGTGGAAGGACGGGCCAGGCTGAAAGGAGGTGAAAACACAAAGGCAAAAGGCAAACAAACTGTGCTGCCCTTGCGATGGTCACAGCCACGGTGCAGAGCTTCCAAGGGCCGGCAGATGGCAACAGCACCGAGCCCAGCACAGCTCACATCCTTCCACCAAGGTTATTACATCATCCCCAAACTCCCAGCTAGAGATCACAGCAAGCAGGAAAAGGAGAAGAGAGAGGGGACAGAGAGCTTTGGAAGAGGGCTAAAGCCTGCTCCCAGCCACGCCGTGCACTGCTGCACAAAGTCTGTGCAGAGCTGGATTTTCCATCTGTGCACATGGGCCCAAGGCTTTAACCCAACCCAAGCACAAACAGCAGAACTCCACCCCTCCCAGCAGCCATCCCCTGCCCCAGGGAAACCTCTGCCCTGGCCTACTGACATCCCAGCTCTCCTGCAAGAGCGCCCACTCTTCATCTGCACTCCTGTTTGCTGCGGTCGGAGGGAAACGACGATGGGTGGATAGCAGCTCACGCAGCCAATAGGTTTTGGTCAGAGCAGCAGCAGCCTAATGGGAACATCCCTTCCTCCTGTACCCTCTGAGCCACCCCAGATCATGGACAACACCAAACAAGGTCAAAGAAACGTCCTGCAACTTCCACCAGTCCACAAGTGGTTTCATGCAGGTAAAAAAGCTCTGCTGAGGTCTGTGAGCACCGATCACCACGGTCTGACGTTTGGACGGTGACGGAGTTGGATGCAAGGATCCTTATGGTCCCACCCAGCTCAGGTTATCCTATGGCTCTATGACACTCACACCGGTCCCAGCACGGACTCTCAGGCCCCAGCCAACGCTCTGCCTTCTGCTGCAATAAATGCTCTGCTCCTAAAACCAGGTGCAGACGAAGAGCTTGGTCTTCACTGCACCCAGCACCTCGGGACGAAGGCTGCACGGCTCCTCACACCCCACACAGCCCCAGGGCAGCGCCCAGTGTGACCCCCCCCCCCTCCATCCCTCCCCACAGCCCTGCTTTGCCGTGCTCACCATCTGGGAAGGACAGAACGGGGTGGATGCAGGAGTCCAGCTGGGACAGGCGCTCCAGCAGCGGCGCGTCGTACTGCATGTCCAGCGGCGCGGAGCTGCGGGCACCACACAGAGCACACGAGGGGCTCACGTCACAGCTGCACCGAGCCAGGCTGTTCCGATGGACCTGGGCAGGGGGACAGAGATCCTCAGCATCTCACGGGGCTCTTTCTGCACGCTGCCCCGTCCAATCAGCCCTGATTCTCTGTAACACCTTGCAGCAAACCTGTTGATTCAGTCTGGAGCTCGCATACACACAGCTGAGAACAACTACCTGCCCGCACACAGCATCTCCCAGATTTGATTAAAAGTGTTTATCTAGGCTGAAAACCTCATTTATAAAACCATGAGACAGCACGATTCTGTTGTCAGAGAGGAAAAACACCTTCTTCTAGTTCAGACAAGCCAGGGAACCACCACCGTGCCAAGAGCTGACACCTTCAGGGACGTCCTCATGGAGTGAGGAGGAGAGGTTTTCAGTCTTGGTCCCTGAACCAGGAGGGACCTTCAGTTCACAGATCCACAGACTTCACATAAACCTCCTCTACATAAAGCCACGGTGGTGCAGATGCACAACTGGATGTGAAACAGCCAGCAACCGATGAAGCCCCACTGAAATGAAAGGATCCGTCAGATCAGATCCTGTGAAGTCTGTTGAGTCTGGTATTATTCAGATAATTTCCACTAATGACTGGAATGATGGAAGAGATAATATCCTAAAGCCTTAGCAAATAGCAGTACAACTGGGAAGGGCTGCAAGCAGCTTGGAGGAGAGAGCTGGAATGAGAGAAGTGATGGAAGATGAACCAAGCACTGCTCAGTGAGGGTAAAAGCACAGAAATACCCCCAGTGAACTGATTATTCCCACTTTTAAGCCAACTCAGCTGGCCAAGAATCTGTTTTGCTCAGCAGAATGCTTCCTTCTGAGCTTCTTTAAACCCTATCCCCCACAGAGCGAGAAACCCTGAAACTTTGTGGTAATTAAGTTTGACTTGAAACACTTCTGACTGAAATACAAGTAAGTGGATTTGTGCCATCCTTGGTTCTGCAATCCTAAGAGCTGCACGCACAAAAAAACCCGTCCTTATTGCCTCGATTTCAGAGCATCTATTCTCCAACTGACAGCTTATGGCACTCCTAAAGGAAGTTAAGAAGGATGAAGCACGCTTTGTCCTCACATAGGATGCTCAGAGAATAAACTCCGTTTCTGCTGAACTGAATTCTGCGTATGGGCAGGGGAAGATGGGGAGGAGCACAAAGTAACACGTTAATAATGGGCCCCTGTTCATTCCTGTACTGTTTCCTACACCTGACTGTTCACTGCTTCACTCACTCAGCTGCTCCCATTTTACCAGGCTGAACCACCTGGCCTGGAGCTTACCTTAGAACAGCTGGATTCTGAAAAGAAAACCCCGTGTCAGAATCCAGCGCTGATGGCAGCTAACAGAAACCTTCAGCCAATTAAGAGCTTCTTTGTTTCTCCTTTACTTCTCCCACAGCCCCTCGAGCCCCGCTGGGCTGCTCCTCCTCCCCTCGCTGTGACCACAAACACTCCCAAAGAAGGGAGATCTCCTCGTGCAAAGCAGAACGGACCAGCGATCGGCTGTGGAGCTCCTCTGGTGCAGAGCTGGTGCTACGAGGAGGAGCAAAGCAGAGAAAAGCACAAGGGAGCAGACTCACCTTTTTGGACAGGGGCATGATGCTGCTGGGTCGGACCAGCCGTCGCTTCTTACAGCTGAGCACCGGGCGCGTGCGGGCGGCCACACACGTCCCATCTGAAGCTGAAGGGACCACATTCATTCTCTGCTTTTTATGCAAGAGCTCCTCAGCTTCCTGGCCATCTCCCTGAGCGTGTTCTGCCAGGCCAGGCTGAAGACTGAAGAGAACAAGGAGGAGAGCATCACTGCCCGGTGCTGCAGGCAGGGTCAAGCCTTAAGCTGAGACCGAAGCCTTAAGCTGAGATGCAAACTTCTGATCAACACTTGGGAACCACCCCCCCAACACCTCCCAGTGCAATGCTAACCTTCCCCTTGCTGCCCACATGCAGCATCCCTGCCCTGCTGTGGCACCGATGCATGACGCCACCAACTAAATACCAGCACAACTCCACATCCACAGAGCCTTTCCATGCCTATTTTACAAGGGTTTCACATCTGGAAATGCAAAACATTCAAAGCCCCGTGGCCTGACGCCCTGTCATTGAAAGGCTACAGGCACACAGAGGGCTGTGCCACGGCCTGCAGTGCTCCAGCTGTAGGCATGAGCAGGTATTTCAGTGTGCCCACACTGCACCGTCCTGCCCAAGGTGCACTGCATGCGTTTCTGCAGCCACTGCCAGAACCTCCAAGCACCACATGGTTCAACCCTGACGTCACCTCCAGCACAGGAGAATTGCTTTTGCTTGTTTGTATTCCTGCCCCTTGAGAGTTTCTTAGCAAAGGCAACCTGGAGAAACAACGCAGAGAACCTCGTTCCCAATGGAATCGATGGGATGTGGGGTCCTCTGTACCTCCAGAAAAGCAGGCCAATGGTTTGCAGATCTTTCTGCAGAATACCTGCAAGCAGGGCTCTAATCTCTGGATCACACCATTTGCAAATGTATTAAAAATACCCATAAAGAAACAGTTTTGAACATGCTCACTGCCTGCAGGGCCTGTCCATGTAAACACAGCTCTGTTCAATTCCATTTTCAGAAAAACAATGCTGCACAAAACCTCAAGCAAGAGATCTCCTCCAACACTGCTTCCAAGCACGATTCACTACTGAATTATTACTTTATTTCCAAAAAAGAAACCATTCATACCATCACCCACCCAGTTACTAACAGCACATTACAGGCTTGGGTTGCAGCCCTAAAAATGGAGCTCTATCTGCACTGGGGAAGCAGCTTACGTGTTGATGACTCCATTGACGGGTCTTGGTGCTCCACAGGGCTTGGTGGGATGGGACTCAGGAGTACTTGCAGCAGAAAGACCCAAGCTGTCCAAGGGCTGGGATCCAGGAACGCTCTAGGGAAGGAGGAGAGAGATGATAGATTCATTTGTGGAAATCCAAAACAGCCACAGTTTTCTTATTCCAGTTTCCAGCTGAGGATTCTGCACTGTTGCTCAGGCTTCCTTGCACAACTCTGAGACAAGGCTCCAGAAGATGGTGTGCAATAAGAGACAGAGAGGTAAGGACACAGGAGGGAGCAGCTCCAGCAGGAGGACGGGTGCACGACAGCACTCCCAACGTGAGGAACAACTCCCCTTGGGCAACCACTGCAGAGCAGGAAGGCTCACTGCAGGACTCAGTGCAAAAAGAAAAGCTCCTCACCACCTGCACAGCTCATGGGTTGCTTCCCAGGGCTGACAATTGTGCTGCAGCCCCAATCAGTGCTGCAGGGAAGGTGGGGGGCGAGGGGAACAGGCCTGCAGAACTGAGTTTGTGCTTTAACCAAATACCTGTGCACACACAGCCCGAGCAGCACTTCTCAAGATCTTCCCAATTAGAATGCACACAGGCTGTGGCTTTAGGGCCTGAAGAGGCCAACTCCATAAAACCAGAACTGTCTGATGCTGGAAACACCTTGTTGTCTGAAGAAAGCAAGTAGGAACAAAGCGCAAGACACACACCTCTCCTTCTGCCTGGGGTGTGAAAAGCAGACAAACCCTCCTGACCTCAATGAGCAGCAGCTCCTGCACGACTGCAGCACTGAAATACTGAGCAAGGCAGAAGCCCCACTCGCAGCAGCAGGGGAAGCAGGGGGCTGCCTCACTGCTTGTCAGCAGATGCTGGCTTTGCAGCCCTGCCTGTAGCATCGCTGCTCTCATGGAGCTGGTGCCAGCACAGTGCAGCAAGCTGCTGCCCCGGGCACCTCTGTGCAGCTCCTTTTGCTCTCAGACACTCTCCTCCCCTCCCCCAGGGTTAAACGTCATTTTTTCTTGCAGCACTTCCTGCACTCTCTGCCAGTCTCTCTCTAGCTGGGTTTCCCCCTTTGCGCACGCAAAGGGCGGTGGTGCATTTCAAGTGCCTAATAAAAAACAGACAAAAGAAAAGGACTGACTTATCAATCCCCACGTCTGACCAGCCCCCTGCTCACCCTGCGCTCCTTCCCAGCAACATCAGCCCCTCTTCTATTAACACATCCCCTGCGATGGCTCTTCAGCTCAAAGAAGGACAGGCACTGAGCTACGGCAGCGCAGGGTTGCAGCCAGCATAGCAGGGACCTGACTCAGCCAGCGAAGAGCCCACTGTGACAGCAGGGAACTTCTGCCCGCTGCCTGTCTGAGGAACTCTGCAGGCTTTCCTGTGCTTCTAGTAATAAGAGGTTTCACCTGTCTGGATGCAAGGCCGTTGGGCTGCCCTGGGCACAACTGGGAGCCCCGTGCCTGCAGCTGCAGGCTGAGCTGTGCCCTCTGGCTGAGGGCTGGTGAGCCCCAGGCAGCACCCACAGCCTCTGCTGGAGGCACGGGGTGGGAGGGCACCGTGTGACTCATCAGCTCTTTGGAAACGTGGTGTTTATTCTCTCCTCCAGGAAAGGCCTTAAAGGAGGAACTTCTCATCCAGAGCGGCCTCTGGGTTGTTGGGTTTTTTTTTGAGATAGGAACATGCAGCAGAGGGGCTGGAAAGCATCGATCCCTTTATCAGCACCATCCCAGGCCGGTCCTATCGCACCACGTCGGGGTGTACCTGAATGGGGGGCTCCTATGGAGCAGGGTGACTCCAAGAGCTGAGCTCTGCAGCTCACAGGGCAGAGCTCCAACCACCAGGGTGCTCCAGTCTGAGCTCTTCTGCTTCCAAGCCTGGAGGCCACCAAAGCCTTCAGGACACCTGGGGCGCGTGGGAGAGCCATGGGCTTCTGGCTGATTTGAGTCCAGGAGCACAGAGCACCCACAGCACTACGCCTCCAGGTGGGCTGTTGTGACTCCACCCCAGCAATGCCCCCCATGTGCCCAGAAACGCAGGCTCAGATCTTCACCTACTGCAGACAAAAACCCCTGGAGCATGGCAACATCCTACCAAGACACTGCATCAGCATCTCTTACCTGTCACTAAAAATTTCTGGTGCTTCTCCCCACTAGCGAGAGCAGCAATGAACAGACAACAAGAACTGCTTCATGTCATTTCCATCTTCAGGCAAAAATATTATTCACCTCCCACATCTCCCAAAGCAGAGAGCAGGCATCTCCTGACACGCTCTGCAAAGCCTTGCCCCTCACTGCCAGCAGCATTAATTCCTCCCAGGACCCTCAGCCACATCCTGCACACCGACCAGAGCCCCAGCACACACAGCCCAGACTCCCATCGGCCAAAGGAGCTTTTCAGGAGAGGATGAGACCCGAAGGCGAAGGGCTGGGAATGGGACAGGAGGCACTGCCTCCCCTTATTCTGCCCTGCAGACCTCTCCCAGCTTAAAAACAACAGAAGAAACTCATTCTAAGCAGCGGGAAGAGTTCCAAAACGATAAGCAGCTTTCCAGCCTGAGAGATAGCCTAATGCAACAGGAATGGTCTCTGGGCTGTGAGCAGATCGAGGCTGTGACTCAACACCCCACCCCTATGAGCAAGACTGACCAGGCACAGCCCCCCAGGGATGGGTGCCCGAGGGCAGCTGCTCTGCTCACACCTCCAGCCTGATGCAGAGCAGGCAGCCACGTGCACAGCAGGGAGAAGTGGAGGTTTGCTTCAGGAGGAGACGTACAGCAAGGCAGAAGCAGCTCGAAGAAGGTGCCAAGCACCAGCTACTTCTACCTACTTGACAGTAACTGTGCTGGCTCTGCACACACGCTGCTCCTTACTGCTCAGCAGCTATTTATTAAGAGTTGGACTCCATGATCCTTTATGGGTCCCTTCCAATTTGGGGTGTTCTGTGATTTGGCAGCCCAGCCCAAGGCAAGGCTTGGAACCACACCATCTTTAAGGTCCCTTCCAGCTCAGCCATTCCAAGACTCTCTTTTGTGCTGCTCCCAAGACCTGCAAGAGATGGGAGCTGTGCAGCACTGGGGCTGTAGTAATAAAAATCTGTCTGAAGAGCCTCTGTCCCAGGGAAAGGGATGAGAAAAAGGAGCAAGCAGGAAATAAGCAACAGCAGCAAGATGGCTGTGAGCAGCAAAACCAGACAGCAGTGGCCAAGAAGCCCGTTCTCTCCTATGCACCAAATTCATAGACATTTTCTATCCTATACATACAGAGATGATGCCCAAGTGTATGGCAAGCGTCCAGAATGCGTAGGGACAAAGCCAGAAGGGACACAGCTCTTCCATCTGCACGTTTCCAGGTTGAAAACAGACCAGTGCCATCAGATAAACATCCTGACTTAGATAAGAACGGAAATTTTCCTCCTAACCCTGCAATTTGATTATTCATCCCCGTTATCAGCCTAGGTACAGGTCAGCTCCCAGCAGCAGCCAATGCCTTGGTGCAAGCTATTCCTGCAGAGGATCGGAGCACGCTGTCCCAGCAGCTGCTTATTATTCACTGAGAGCTTTTGGGGTTAAAGCATGGATGGGGAGGAGGGGGGTGACAGACGGACATCTCAGCTCGAAGGCAGACGCTGCGTAATGCTGTGCCAGCCCCGTGGCTCTGCTCTGATCCCAGTCCTGCATGAAACCCTCCTGCTCTGCACCACGCCGAGAGGTTTGGGCTGAGCTAATCTGCTAATTAAAGACCTCGGCTCCAAACACGCATCTCGAAGCCACGTCAGGCGAGGAGATGTTTTATTACACTCACTTGGAATAACCCCTTGTGGTCCACTGCGAATCACAGAGCTCACAGTATTTGCTATTATCGCTCCTGACAGGCTGCTCAGGGAGAGGAGAAAACACTCCAAGTTCGATAATACGGATGTTTTCAGTTAAGCTTTCTCTCTGTATCATCTGCACTGAATTCTGAGCGCAGAATCACGGAATGACTGGGTTGGAAGGGATCTCCAAGCCCATCCAGGGCTGCAGGTTTGGGGCAGAGCGACTGGAAAGCTGCACGGAGAAAAAGGACCTGGGGGTGTTGGCTGCACGTGAGCCAGCAGTGTGCCCAGAAAGGCCCAGAAAGGCCAGCAGCATCCTGGTCTGTGCCCCCCATCCCACACCATGGCTTCAGAGCCCTCTGCTGTAGTACATCCGTGTGTCCCTCAGGATCAAAAGTAATCACAGCCATCCCGAACCGCCTCTGCTCCGTGCCCTACATTTCTGCATTAAATAATAAATACCTGGCGCTCGGCATCGCTTCCAGAGCATCTCACTGAAATCATTAGTTCCCTTTCTAAGGGGGAAAGCTCAGGCAGATATTAATAGTCACATCTTCAGAAGCACTTGCTAATTGTGCTGCTCTCAGTTTGAGGTGCTTTTGCTGGAGGGAAAGGATTAGTTAGGATTTTTAAGCTTCGTAAAATGCTAATGCATATTACAAAGGTACCCCAAGGAACTCCGTGCTAAAAGGTGTTTAAACCGTATCATTTATTAACCCCAAAGTAAACCGGGAGGGGAGAGCAGCGGGTTGGCATTCCCAAAGGACAAATCCCATTGGGGAGGGGGTAGGAGGGCCGCGCTCCACGCACTGCTGCACTCACCAGCCGCTCTGCGCCGGGCTCCGGCTTCACATCAGCGCTAACAGGACGGGATGCATCATCCGCTGCGGGGTCAGGGGGTGCTGCTTCACCGAGGACAATCAGCCCCTGGAAGAGATGGAACAGAGCGTGGATTAAATGCGGCTCCTTCGGACCCAGCAGGGCAACGGCGCATCCATCGGCCTTGGGAAGAAAACAAACAGGAAAACCACAGCGCAGAGAGGCCTGCATTGCCACAGCATTCTTCAGACGTGATGCCAAACCGAATCCCTCGCTGCCCGGAGTTCCCTGACACCGAAGCTGAACTCGGAGGCAGCTGAAGCCAGCTCACACATTGCAGCCCACGAGCACCCACTGCTGCCACGGGCAGAAGGGCCACCCTGGGCAGCCGCAGCATCCCATCCTTCCCTGCTCTGTTGCTCTCCTCTTGGAGCCCCAGCAGAGCAGAGCAATGCTTTGCTGTAACAAAGAGAGAATCACAGAATCACAGAATCACCCGGGTTGGAAGGGACCTCAAGGATCATGTAGTTCCAACCCCCCTGCCTAGCAGGGCCACCAGAGAGGGAAGAGGGAAGAGGCTGCTGGAACAGCGCGCAGTGCAACCTGCTGCAGCTCCGAGCAAAGCAGGTTGAGCAGGTGCCAAAAATCACCCGGTCAGAATCGTAACTCGGGGCAGATTTTTCAAAGTCATACACAGAAAATTGAGTAAGAAAGAAAATAAGTGCTGATAAACAAAGCTGTAAAGCTGGTGGGGCAAAGCCTGGTGGCAGAGCACTGATTGTCTGGGTTAACACACTGTGTCCTGTCTGCGCTTCACTCCAAGTGAAGCTTGGACTATTTCCTCTCTCAGCAACACAAAGTATAACAAAACCATGATAACTGCACCTGATCTGAGCTGCACCATAACGAGGCAGCATGCAGTGTGCAGCTGGGAGAACCTGTAGGCCACAAAACCAAAGTCCTGCACGCAATGGTTGATCAAAACCATGGATGGGACCAATCCCACCTCCCGTAAGGATCATCCCATGCCTTCACACCATCTTCCATACAAGAGATCTGTGGCTTTTCCAGTAAAATGCTGGTAGCTCATCCTCCAGAGATAACTGCTTTAAAAACAGATCATTCATAAACTAAATACAACTGTACGTGGCCTCCAACCAGCAACGAGCAAGCAGCCAGCTTCTGGATAAACAGAATGACTGTTTCCTGTAGTTTTCCAAGATCCAAGAAGGGTGTTCAGGAGATGAGGGAGGCTGGAAGCCTAAGATGAATTAAACACCCGAAAAGTGCCCCTAGGAAAACCACTGCATCCCAGTGCTGCTCCCAGAGCCAGCACAGCTCAGCCACCCTGCATGGACAGCGAGGAACTGGGTCTGAACACAGAACAGAAAGCAAGGAAGCTGCAGCACATCTCTCTGCTATCAGCGCTCCTGTGACTCTGAACACCTCCAGAGGCTGTATTTTAACCTCCTTATATTCGGCCAAAGAAACCAAAGCTGAGTTCTGTTGATGAAGAAACCAACCTGTCTCCTCATTCTTCAACGACTGCCCTCATACAGCTGGAACTGAAGCCCATTCCAAAAGGTCCTTTGCACTACTGAAGTGTGTATTCATGCTCTCGCCTTCTCTACCTGCTGCATGTCTTACCCCACTGACAAAACCAGAGCACACCTTCCAAGCACCCTTGAGCTCAATGCCAGCAGCACGATGAAGAGGTGATCTGCAGCCCTGCCAGGATGGTGGCTGTTTGCTGCTGTTTGCTTTCAGGCAGGACAGCCACTGCCAGATCCCGAGCATCTGAAATCTGATGTACCTTTTAACTTTGACACAGCACTGTCATCTTCTCCCTTCAAACCAAGAGACTGCAACCTTAGATGAAACATGCAACACATGTAGACCTGCTGAAAGCATCGCATCTCCTCCTTCATCAGCTGAGTTTGCTCCTTTCTGCCACTCCTTAACTTTTAGCAAATAAATTCTGAGCCATTTGGGGTTTTGTGCTTCCCAACCACCCTGCAGGATCTGCAAGGTGGAAGGATCTTTCTGATGCTGGGTCATTCATGGATGTCACACCCGCTTCCCACAGGCTGCCTTCTCTCCTCCTGATGCTGTATTCCACCCAGACAGCCATGCTCTCCCCTCTGCTCTTTACAGTCCTCACTCACCATTTAACCTGTTCTTCTACATAGCTGCATAAAGGCCCACAGCCTTCCTCCCCTGCCTGTGCCCTTCTTCCCACTGCAGCCATCACCAGAACACCATAAATCTTAGGGAGGGAGCCTGCTGGACTGAATTCCTGAGGGTCTGTAAATGGATGCAGCACCAGGATCCTGCCTGCCACAACCTCAGCATTCCTCCCTCCGAGGGCTGACATTCAGACATGCACGCCTGAACAAGTCCTGATAACCATTCCTGCCTCATCCCTTCTCTGCTCTCCCCCACTCTGAGAGCAAGTTTGAAAACAAAATTCCTGCCATAAAGGTCAGCACTTGTAGTCTTTTTTTTTCACTGTTTCAGCTTTAAGCCTGTGCCATCAGACAGCATCCGCAGATGGCTTCCTCCACAGCCCCATTCCCTCCCCAGGTCTCTCATCGAGCTGTTCCTCAGCCCCATCTTCAGGTATTCCCAAAGAGAAAGAAAGAGTGGAGCGATGGAGGAGTGCAGCACACACGCAAAAGCAATTCCTGTTCGGCACCCAGAGAGAAGCTTTTAATTGAGGAGCTGCTCTTTGTGTCACCGTGGAACAGGACTGCACTCAGCCCATGCCCAACAGCCTCCCCGCCACCCACAGCTGTGCAGTACCCTGCTTGAGCTGCAGGCAGGGCATGAAACACGTGGTGCTTTGCATGCAGCTTCCCCACTGCATGGGAAGAGAACCATCAGAGGCAGAAAGGGCAGAACCCCCCGGATCCCAACAGTGCTCACCTTATTGGCTCTGATCTGCTTGTAAATATCCGTCTGCTGCCGGATTCGGTACTCCAGGTCTGAGACGTGGGCTTGGAGCCAATTCCAGCGACTGACGATGGCTGCACGGTCTGCTGCCCATCTCCACTCTGCCCTTCGTCTCCTGGAAAAACAGACAGGGGAAGGGGGGGATGATTCCGAGTGTGACTTTAATTACACAGCCCACAGAAAACCGAGCAGAACTGACAGCCAGATCAAAAGCGACACGGCGAATGGCACGACTGATACCATCTAGCCACTGCTAATGACTACCAGCCCGGCCACAGACGTGCTGTAGAAGCCATGCCTCTGCAGAGCAACAGGAAAACAACTTTGGGTACCCAATGATTGAAGTTCTGCCTATGCGAGCGTTAAGGTTTTACTCCACGCTCAGCTGAACCAGCAGCTCTGGTCCCACCTGGCTGCAGCCAGACCCACTTCTGCAGGTTCTGAAGGGAACAAAACCCCTCTGCCCTCCTTCCCAAACTGCACCATGTTTGTAAGGAGCCACTGGTCACGAAATACAGCCCGACACCAGCACAGAGCGCGTGGCCACACTGGGGTGAGCTTCACAAGGCACCCATGTTTGGAGAGCTCACAGTGCCTTGCAAAAGCTGTCGCCCTGCAAGGAGCTGTTGCAAAGGAAAGCAAGCAGCAGCAAATCATTTCTGCATCAGGTGGCTTGACCCAGCAAACAAAGAAGCTGGGAAAAACCATCAGATATGACAGAGTGAGCTGCTCCTCTGATCTGCATGGCTGAGAAGTGAAGGTGAGAGCACACAAACATGTGGGTGCCCGGGGAACCCACACACTGCAGCCCTCAGCTGACTTCCTACCTGCTTTCTCTCTGCTGCAAGCACCAAACGTGGCCCAGCAGGAACATAAATGTGCTTTTGCTGTTGTGTGCATCACACCATGGCATTTTATGGTCAGCTGTTACAACAGCACCTCACCAAACTGTCACCAAACTGCAGGGCAGATGGGAACACAAAGAGTAATGTGTGTGTAAATCCACAGCTCTGCTCTCCTGCATTAGAAAGCCTTGTATTACAGAAACACAACCTGAGCATCTGATTTGTTGGACAAGTGCTCAGACTACCCAGGAAGCACAGACCACAACACAGGCAGCAGCAGCAGCGCGCACGTGCAAATGCAGCACTGCACAGCACCTCAGAACTCAGGAACAAAACAATTCCCTTTTCTCCTCCTCTCATCCCCCTGCAGCGGTTCTGATGCAGAGCACGGCGCCTGCATGGTGCAAGCAGAAGCCACTGATTCCCACTGCCCGTGCCCTGCACAGCACCTCCAGTTTGGTGCCAGCAGATGAAGGCACATTTCCACCACCATAAGCAATCGCTGCAGCAGCCTGCAGGCTTCCCCAGCCTCAGTAAGACCTCCACCAGCCTGAGCTCTTCTCTCTGGCATATTTCACCATATGAAGAGCCCCCTGCTGCGCTTGGCTCAGCACAAGCCTTTCCAGAGCACATTATTTCTCCAGGAATTGACTTCTTCCATACTCCTGTTGCACAAGCTGAAGGCAATTCGACTCCACCAGCCGCAGGTCAAACTCAACATCAGTCCTCCCCAAGCTTTGGACGCTACACCAGAGCTCTGCAGCCTTTCCATTGCTCTGTGGGGACCAAGAACAGTGCAGCAGGAAGGCAGAAAGCTGCTGAGAGCTCCCAAACCTCTGCCTTCCCTTTGCTTCCCTTTGCCAGCTTACAGAGCACCTGAGTGTGTTGAACAGCACCAGCCCACTCTGTTAAACAGCACTCATTTGGATCATACAAATAAAAGTGTGAAACCTTTCATTTTCATCTCTCTCCAAACACTTTGCAAAGCGGAACTGCAGCCCCACAACTGCTGCCAGGGCAGGGGAAGCTGATCCCTTCTTTTTAAGCATCGCAGACTTCCAAATGATGCTGATGGAAGGGTTGATCCCACCTGCTGAGCTGGCAGCACCTGCCCTGCTGGGGTCACAGCACGTGCCCGGATGGTGCATGCAGCACAGGAGGAAGAGCAGCAGTTAAATACGATCGGAGAAAGGCAGGGGGGAAAAAAAACTCCCACGTGACATCAGTGCCCGTCCTTGGGATGGGTCTGAGTCCTTCCCAATGCACAAAGCATTCAAAGCACTGCCTTCTGAGCACAGCAGCCCGCTGCAGCATGGGGAGGGACTGAACCCCAGGTGAGTTCTGGCTGCTTCAGGAAGGGGTGTGTGCTCTGATGGAGTTATCCTTTGAACAGGTAACGTACACAGAGCCCTGCTGTGAACACAGCAGCACCTCAGTCCGTGCATTCCAGCAGTGTGAGCCGCGCTGGGTCCTGCATGCTCAGCAGCCGGGTGCTGCAGGGCTGTGCAAGCTCTGTGTAGATAAGCACTCCGGAACACGGCTGCCACCTATATGAGCTTAAACCAAGCTGATGCACTCAAACAAGGCTGCAGGGTGAAGATCAGCAGGGATCATCCCTACACGACTGTGGGAACCCACAGTCCAAGCCCAAACCTTGCTGCACCAGCAGCAAGCAAATGAGGCACGTCAGGACTGGGCTCCCACGGCCACCTGAGATCCCAGCGAGGATGCAACAGACCACAAAAGCAGTTTCAAATATGACACTCAGCTCTATTAAAGGGCCAATTATCCATATTAATTCTGCACGTGTGTTACCTACCACCGGGCAGCAGCCCCGGGGCAAAGGCTGGCAGCACGAACACAACGCACCGCTTCGTGTCCATGCAGGCACAACGACTGCTCTCTAACAAGATGCCAACAGAAATCTCACAATTACACCAACTCTTATTTGAAGCAGTGGTTTCCCATCCTCTTTTTCTCCTTGCTTTTTGAGATGTTCCAATGTCAGTCCTGACAGCGAGGTGAAACACTGCCAATATCTCCAAAGCTCACCGGGAGAAGGTGGATAAAAAGCCATGCGCTCCGCTCACGTGCAATTCAGATGACACAAATCCAACTTTTCCAATTCTCCCCATCTTCAGCTGCTGAAGGCAACACACCCAGCTCAGCTGCTGTTTGCAACCCCCTGCTCTGCTGCACACTGTGAGCTCTGTGGGCAGAGTTAAATTGCCCAAAGCTTTCACAGCATCACAGAATGGCCAGGGTTGGAAGGGACCTCAAGGATCTGAAGCTCCAACCCCCTGCCACACGCAGGGCCACCAACCTCCACATTTCACACCAGCCCAGGCTGCCCAGGGCCCCATCCAACCTGGCCTTGAACACCTCCAGGGATGGACGGGGCATCACAGCCTCTCTGGCAGCTGTTCCAGCACCTCACCGCTCTCATAGTAAAGAACTTCCCCCTGACATCCAACCTCAATCTGCCCTCCCTCAACTTCAAACCATTTCCCCTTGTCCTGCTGTCTCCCCTTTCCAAGAGTTGATTCCCCTCCTGTTTGTAGGCTCCCTTTAGGCACTGCAGGCTGCAATGAGGTCACCCTGCAGCCTTCTTTTTCTCTCCTATGACGGCTCCAAGAGAGGAAGAGAAACCCCACGAGCTCTGGAGAACAATCTCGTTAGCTGATGACAACACCGCTGCCTGCCAAGGAGCCAACATGAACGGTTCATTCAGTTGAGCTGCCCCCACCCTGCGGATGGAACCCACAGATGCTGATGGGCTCCTCTGTGCACAGTGCTGCTCCGTTCCATCCAACCCATCCCTGCACCCAGCCATGCCCCACGCTGCTCAGGGCCACGTGTGGTTTGCAATGCTCCAAGCGCAGCTCAATGCCCTCCCTGTGAGCAGCAGCCGTGCAAAGCCTGCACAGCAGCCATCGCTCAGGATATGAAAGGTTTGTTTTGGCATCACTGCTCATTAAAAAGGAAAAAAAAAGAAAAAAAGAGAGGAAAAAAGAGGCCAAGTGGCCTAGGCAAGTCACTACATGATGCCTGAACTCCTGCACAGGGATGATGCTGGGACAGGGCTGCACAGCCTGTGGTCACAATGGCAGAACCCAGAGCTCTTGTGCTGCAGGCAGCAGCACTGCCACTGCAGCTCGTGCTCCAGAGCAGGGCTCCAAGCCAAACCTCTGCCCCATGCCGCTCTCCTGTGGTGCTTTTTCTCCCTAAATCCCTTCCTAGCAGAAAAAGTGTTTCTTGGAAAATTAAGCACCAAATCATCCCTTGAAGTCATCCTTTAAAATGGAATGCCCCGTGCAGGATGTCCACACCAACGGGACAAACACTGCGCTCAGCTCAGGAAACTGAAAATCATCACTGCTTTGTTCAGCTGCGATTCGGAGGAACCCCCTGCACATCACCCACGGGTGCTTCTCATTTTGGTTCTGAGCCACAGAGAATGCAGCACCTGAAAGCACAGCATCCCCAGCAGAGCATCCCCAGCACGCTGTCCCTCCGGATGGCTGGCTGTGTGCTGAAGATGAGATGTTCTGGTCCCATCTCAGAGCTCAGCACCTCCCAGAGCCAGCAGTGGTGTGCAGTGACTCAGCACAGTGCTGGTGGTGCTGAGTCACTGCCACGTGCTGGCTGCTCCCAGCCCTCCCAATGGGAAGTGTGGGCCCTGAGGGCAAGATATGGCACTGCTCATCCAGGGCCTGGGGACGGCAGTGCAGAGCTCCGCTGGGGGCCTGGGGTCAGAGCTGGATGCAGCCCCTGAGATACTCACAGAATGATAGAATGGCCTGGGTTGCAAAGGAGCACAGCACTCATCCAGTTCCAACCCTCTGCTGTGTGCAGGTCACCAACCAGCAGCCCAGGCTGCCCAGAGCCACATCCAGCCTGGCCTTGAATGCCTGCAGGGATGGGGCATCCACAGCCTCCTTGGGCAACCTGTGCCAGTGCCTCACCACCCTCTGGGGGAAAAACTTCCTCCTAATATCCAACCTAAACCTCCCCTGTCTCACTTTAAAACCATTCCCCCTTGTCCTATCACCATCCACCCTCAAGAACAGCCGTTCCCCTCCTGTTTATACGCTGCCTTCAAGTACTGGAAGGCCACAGTGAAGTCTCCTGGAGCCTTCCCTTCCCTTCCCTTCCCTTCCCCTCCCCTCCCCTCTCCTCTCCTCACTGAAGCCATTGGCAGAAGGCTCGGTGGGATTCCAGAATCCATTCCCAAGGAGGGTCCACATGTTCTGCCAACACAACAGCATCT